GGCACGCATGCGCCGTGAAACCGGAAGTCCTAAAATCTTGGAGTCTGGAAATTGATTATTACAGAGCTCCGTGTCTTGGCGCTGACCAAAAGACACGTGGGCTCTGGGAACGAGACTGGGAACTTGGAGAAACTCTACTGATGACGCAACTTTACCGCGAACCGGGTAGCGTCCCTGATTGGCTGTTACTTGCACGCAAAATTCAAAAACGAGTAAAAGCCAATCAAAGACACCATATAAGTCATCAGTATATCCCATCATCCTCCGAACGAGAAAAGAAAAGCGCGCGAAGTAACGTTTTTTCGCTACGGGTAACTTGAGCGTAGCGGTGATTAGGTTTCGCTTCGTCTTAGAAGAAAAAAACAAATAAACAAACAAGTAAACAAATAATTTAACAAAAAGACATTAGGGGATTTTATGTTTGATCGGAACAGCATGAATTCTTCCTCTAATCTATAAGTTCTAAACGATGTATCTTTTTTTTTTATGGCGTAGCCGTGATTTTACTTTCTTACCCTAATAAGCCGATATCCCGCGCCCCACACTACGATACCAATCACTGCCACGATCTCTATCACAGTTACAGTGGCTGGATGTCTGCGGCCAAACAAATTTATACCGTGAACAAAAGATTGGTAACTTAACACACAATCTACTATTGCTTCCATGTGGTCACCATAAGACATAGCTCTCTGTTTGTGGGAAGTTCACTCTTAACCCACTCGTTTTGCTCACTGTACTAAACAGATGACAGTCCTCACTCGTTTTAAAAAGTTATCTTTGGAAGGCAGAAGTGTAGCAGGTCTCGTAAGCTTGTAATTCTTTTGCTTGTTAGCAGCTGTTATTGTTTTGGGGCTTGGGGGCATTATTTCTGTTGTTTGTTCTACTGTCCTCTCAAAGGGTATCTAGCCTTGAAGGACATGAAATTCCTTCGCGGAAATCTCGCTTATATTGCTTACAAACTGGTGCGTGTTTCTTCGATCATGCATCGAAGGTATCTTTTCTTTCTGCATAAGTTTCAGATTCAATTTATAGTATTCTCTGACACCAATTGCCATATGTAACCGGGACTCGACGATTGACAATACTTTTACTGAAATTACTCTAAATATAAACAGCCCAACAAGTAAGCGAACAAAACAAAACAACTCAACACTGTTCTCGACCACAGTCTTCTTGCACAGTGTTCTAGTACTTTAATTACTGTTATAGTGTTATCATAAGGCCTTATGCATCCCACAGCGCGACAAGGACTTGCGAGTGTTAGCTTGAATTACACAAATCACTACAAGTACAACATAACAGGTGCCATATTGATAAGACACCAGATTTTACCGGTGCCTCGCCAGGGAATACAAGCCAACTGCTTATTTTCAACTGATACGGAATCTAACCAGGCTTGTGAAAGGAACTGATGATCTTAACTTGTCGATTGACTTACTTGTTGTAGACCAGCTTGTCCAGGATTTTCTGTGTAGCTTCTTTGGTAAGATTAACACCTTCGTCAAAATCCATCTTTAAAGACCGCTTATTCGTTCACCTCCGGCAGGATAACTCCAGTTGCATTTAAATCCATTGCTACTCATCGTTCGCACAGTGATTTGATACAATGAAATATTTGAAACTGGCGGAGCTGATCAACGAGTAAAAATCAGCGAACATGGATCGCGCTTAGTGGATTAGTCATAGGCTATTTTTGCTGATCTTGTCATGTTTATGCTAACTTGACTCAATTAGCGTTATCGTGATTTTAACAGCTACAATACAGGAGAAAAAAGAAACAAACTTGAACGATATACCCGTTGGTATGTCACAAGTTTTTCCGTTCACGTTGAAGAGGAACACAGTTTATATTATTCAAGGCTTCTTGGCAGTCAGGGCAGATCCTGGAAATTCAAAAACAAGGGCCCTGGGGAATGCTTCCCGGAAAATTTAACAATTTGGGATGCTACTACCGTCATCTTGGAAAATGGTGTTTTCATAAGGCGAAATGGTGCTTGCATTAATTGGCCTCACAAGACTAGATCATCCAATCAATGACTTAAAGTGCTAGAATATACTGGAGTATGTTCAGAATATAAGTGTCCGAATATACTAGAGTAACTTCTAGTAACACAAACTTCAAAGAGCACTCCATACATATCTGTGTTTAAATTTTTTATTGAGCTATGTACCCACTTTCCAAGCTTGTTGTTCGCTCCCTTAGTGAGTTGTCCCGGTCCATTTTAAAGAGAAAATTATTCCTTCCTAAAAACAGCTAACGTCGAACTTTTCACAAATCATACGCATCTAAACAACTATTTAAACCAGCGATGGTTTAGGACGTCAGAGAATGTTCAACGCAATGCTTTGCGGCGCACTCCACCATTATTCACTCCCACTTCCGTGATGTCATCCCAGGAGTCTTTCATGCAGTCCCTTGGGTTATTCTGATGTAGCAAGAGAGCTCTCAGCTTGGGTGGAGGGAGAACCACGTACCGCACTCCTTTATCATCAGGTACCGCACTGTCCCGGGAGCGGCAACTACAGCTCTTGATGAGCAGCTCTGTGTCGATTTCTTGTGCGGTGTACATGAACTGTAGCATGGCCCCAACCGCTGACATCAACACCCATCCCAGGAACATTGCTAGAGCTAAAAAGTGGAAACGGTGATTTCAATTATCATTATAGTGCCTCTCTCCACCCAGGTGTGTGAAGCTCTGTTCACACTACACTGGAACGACGTTTTCATTCTAAAACGTATCAATCAAATGTTTTCCGTCCTAACTACGCCGGGGAAAATTGAAAACACCACAATTACCGCTCATTTTGGGTTTGCGTTTGAGAAAACACTCGGACAAGGAAATCACATTATCTTCGTGACGTCATCGTTTTCGAAAAGCTCCGGTTCGAAAATGTTTTCCATCCACGCTAAAACGCAAAGCCGGCGTTTTCAAATTCCTTTGGTTTGAAAAGCGTTTTCGAAAAGCTCCGTTTTCGTGACGGATTAGTGTGGACGGTAGACCTAACCGTTGAAACAAAGCTGCGTTTTTAAATTTCTCCTGCATAGAGAGGACGGAGCCTATATGATAAGCGGAGAGTGAGAGGTTACCTTGATCAGTGAATTCCTTGTGAGCTTCATGAAACTCCAGTTTCACTCGAGCAGGATGGTTGGCAGCTTGACTAAAGGCGTCCTTTGTCTTAAACAGTATTTGCTTGATCAAAGTAGTGAAAGCAGTTCTACAGTAATGATCCAGACCTGGCCAGGAAGAAAAGTTAAGTTTCAGAATAAAAAATCAACCAACTCAGGTGCCAAGCTGTTATATAAAGGATATTCCATCGCCGCGCGGAGATAAGAAATTTCGCTTCGAATGTGGAAAAATATTTCACGAGTAGCAAAGACGAGTGAAATAGTTTTCAACACGAGAAGAGAAATTTCGTATCTCCAAGCGGCCGTGAAATGTTCTATTTATTACATCAACACCAATGAAATATAACAAACCATTTCACTTTCACTGCGAAAGGCGCAATTTATTATGTTACCGTAGCAACGGCGTTCATCTATATATTCAGCATTTGCCAAAAAATGGGAAAAACTCTCGGCCGTACTCAAGACCAAGGGCACAGTTTTTCCCAGAGCGGACCGACCAAGGCCGGCAAATAATTTTTATTAAAGCCTTTCACTTCAAATCTGGCGCACGCGTGAGTTTCGGGCACAAAAAGCGATACTTTTCACATAATTTGTAGGGCTGCTTTACATATGACAAACAGTTATGTGACAAAAATTGATGCTAATGAAAAACTGAAACGCACGGCTGGATATAAAGTTGAGTAACGAGCCTTAAATCAAAGCGACATTCACGAAAACTCCAAAATGGTTTTGAAAATTTCGGAGCGATCCGTAACCGGGGTCCGGATGGGAAAATCCGGACCACTGGAGCGCGCGTGATTAACCAATCAGATTCAATGATTTAGGATTCCGGCCCCATGAGAAGCTAGACGAAAAAATTATACTAGAGATATCCTATCAGTTATAAAACTGCTGTCAAAGTGAGCCCTGTGTGTGTGTGTGTTTTTTAAAGAAACCTTATACCCTTTGCATGTAGCTGGGACCAATGACAAAAATCATTTCAATTCTTGAAAAGCAAGCTATAGTCAGCAAATATTATTAGATATTTATTTATTAATTTTCTCCCTTTTATGCCCCGTTTTTATATATACACTAATTTATTTTAGGTTTTTAACATAATTTGTATTGATCTCTGAAAAGCCCCCCAGGGGAGTGTTCAATGAAGTCTTATTTTATCTTAGTCAGCTCATATAGACCCTTTAAATACATGGCGTCGATATTTGAATAACATTAATTGTACATCCTAAGCCTCACATTCATGTGAAAAATCCTTTGTCTGGAAACATAAGAACGAGGCTAAGGATGTACAAAGTATTGTTATTCAAATTCAGGCACCATTTTATGAGGAGCACTTACCAAGAAGAAACATGAGTGATCCTGTGAGAGATGTAGCAATAATAATAAAGACCTTCTCAAGCCAGACAGCGAGGATTCCAAACAAAAGACCAGTGGCACCATAAATACCATAATATGCCAGGTCACTGAAACCAAAATGAAAATGAAAAACAACAGATACTTTAACTCAAGAACTGTGACAATAGGGGCTGTGATAGTCTAGGTAAAGTCTGCATGTGAGTTAAGTGGCCCATCAAGCTGGAGCTTATCCTGGTTTCTGTAGCATGAGATGACTAAGAGTATTTCTAGTCCCCCCTGGATTGGATGCTAGTTCATCGCAGGGTTACCCCCAGCATTAAGTTTGCCAGTACCCATTTATACACCTGGGTGGAGAGAGGCACTGTGAAAGTCAAGTGTCTTGCCCAAGAACACAACACAATGTCCCAGCCAGGGGTCAAACCCAGACTGCTCGGTCCACAGTCAAGTGCACTAACCATGAGACCAATCTTTCCCCTCTGAAAGTCTACCTTTTCAGTATTATGTTCAGATGAGAAAGCAGATTTCATGATTCATTCATGTAATCAGTCTATCCTATGACCATGTCTTGAATGTGACATGTACTTTCCCTATGGGGTTGCTTGTTGGAAGAGGGCACTTGCCAAAATACATGTAGGGGTCACCTTATTAAAATGTGGCACTTGATCTGAATGGGGAGTGCTTATAAGAAGGAGGTTTCTCCACTGATTCATTATGGTACATGCATACAACATACAAGTACATGATTCAAAACAGATGATGAACATCTTGGTCGATGCAGACAATGGTCATTGTAGGGTGATTTCAAAAATAAGAGTGAAATGATTGGCATGGAAAAGCACATGGTCCAGGAAACAAAAATTCTTGGTGTTGTAGACCAATGGCTGTTAGAAGAGGTTTTTAGGGTACAAATTATTTAATATTATTATTTCTTTCAAGTAATCTGGGTTTAAGACCTTAATGTCCCAAGTTTAATTGTTGGTCTGCAGCTTTCCAGACAAATTACTAATAGATTTACAGAAAGCCATTTTTATTTTTAACAACTAAGTAATTTGTTAATAATTTTGACTATTGCACAGACAGACAGACAGACAGACAGACAGTCTGACAGACAAACAAACAGACAGATAACCTTTAATGAAGCACAATTAACATTAAAGCTCAGTAGCTTATGGGGTCGTGCACAATACCAGGTAAATTAAAATGAAATTAAACTTTGTTGCACACAAGTTCTCTCTGACAGCTTACACCTGTACCTACCTCTGCAAGTACTGGGACACAAAGAAAGTAGCTACTACAATAGAAACTGCCTGTGGAAATGTCCAAAAACAACAAAAGATATAACTTAAGTAATCTGTGAGTTGGAAGCCTAAAACACATTGTAGCATGTATAATTAATTACACTACATACTCCACAGTTCTTCAAAGGGTAATGCTTAGTTAGGAAAGAAGAAATGGGTCAAACAATAAATAAAATTTTATATGAAAATTTAGTGCCAGATCTTCTTAAAAATATTTTTCATTGTCTGGATACATACATGTATCTTTGTCTTCATTAGTGTACTGGATAGTACAGTGGAATTTTTTAAATTGAATGTTAGAAGTCTCTTTGTCCTGGGGGACGAATGAAGCATGCCAATACTTTCACTCAGGCTGCAAAAAGCATTTACTTTGTGAACGAATATTTTTGGTTCAAATTGACTTTTGGTTTCAAATTTGTCAAACCAGTTTGATTCACATGCACAAAATACATTGATCACTGAAAAACTAGCCAGCAACAGCAGTGACAGGAGACTTATGTTGCACAGTTTCAAATGATGCATTGACTCACCCATCCAACAATACAACCCATACAGAACACACCAATCTTATAAACATAACAAGCCAGTGCTCCAGCGAGAAGTCCACATATAATGCTAATGGAGATGCGCACTGATAGAAAACAAACAAAACATGTCATTATTAGTGATCACGTTTCTTTGGGTATATACATGTCATACATGTACATGATAGAAATACCAAGCATGACCTCAAACAGAGCCATTAGTTTCATGAACCATTGCAGTTCAGTTTAGAAAAGGGCTGCTGCAGTTACTCACTATTGGAGCTGAGCATGCATTATTTTTTAAAGATGTGCTGCTCTTAAACGTGGAGCACAAATGCCTCAGATAATGTGTTGCCAGCACAATTACCACCCCTTCTCAGATGCAAATGTTTTTGCTTCTTTGATGTTATGTTCTAAGCCAAATAAGAAGATCACTATGTTCCTACATGTACATTGTATGTTTATTAAGAAAATAATGCCTTTTTGAGGTCTAGAAAAACTGCTGAACACACTCACGTTCCGCTTGTGCTTCCACTAGCAGTTTTTCTAGACCTCAAGTGCGCATTATTTCCTTAGAGCAGATGGAACATCATCTTCTATTTTGTAACTACAGGCATAATGCACGTAACATGTGATCAATAGGCCTTCCTTACTTTTTGTGACTGCATTTTAATTTTAGCATACACATTCACATTTAAACGAGCCCCAGGCTCACTGGTGTAATGTGTCTAAATAAAGTACTTACTCACTTATCCATTGTACAACTGTAATCAATAATTATGGTTGCCACCCTATACATTAGGGGTAATGGGTTCAACTGAGAGCATGGGCAAAGATTGAACCAGAGCTCTAGCAAGGGGCTCAGATGTGGAGTGAAAGAATCAGGGAGAGCAAAGACTACACAGTTATGGAAATGGAAAGAGAGAGGTCTGGTTGATAAGAGCGGGGCATGGTGGAGGGGCATGACTTGCTGCAGTATACTAGAACTGCCAAAAGAATGAGGAGGCCTTATTCATCACTTGGTGTGGCCAAGATACATTGCACATGTATAGGGAACAGGTAACTCTCAATACACACACCCTTGGGTGTATCTAAAAGAGTTCAGTTGAACCACCTAAATTAACAAACCTTAATTTTAAAAATCTTCAGATCCCCCTACAAGGAACCACCTTCAGCGGTTCATATCTAGAACCCACTTTTCTAAAATCCTGTATTTGCCCCAGACATCTCACCTTCTAAGCTGTGGTTTCCATCACAACAGAACTCTGTGTCAAGGACATCAGGACTTAGTGAGTAAAAACCAACTCCAGCAAACACAAATGCTGCCACAATAACTATGGGCTGTAATTATAATTCACAAAACATACATGTAATGTACATGTAACTGTATGTACAATTGGTTCTACAATATACATTTAAAATATGGGAGAATTTTAGCATGTCCATTGTCAAAAAGATAAAAATATACCTGTCCAGCAAATAAAAATGAAGGGCATAACAATATATAATTATAAAAATCGGTAGAGTGCAGTATATATATTGCACAAATTTCTATTCCGAATTGAAATCTATATTTAGCCTGCACTCAGGTCAAAAGTGCTCAAACTGAAACAGCGCTTGAAGAAAACTTGAATTCCAGCTCGTCTTTGCACAAGCAGCTCTCAAATTTTGCTTGCCCTGGGCAAGTCTTAGTTTGTGGTCTTAATGATTTAGTTGACAGACAGCTTGCGTGATTCCTTGCTCATCAGGCAAGTGAAAATCAACAGTTACTTGCCCAAAAGGAAAATCTACTTGTCCTGGATGACCTAACGGCACTTTTTCAAGCCCTTCCACCAGAGTTTAGAGCCAGTTTCCATATATATATATATTTGTAGATGAGATGCTAGTGTGTACCTGACAGGCTAACTCTGGGCAGAACAGTATTGCATCAGGTTGATCAAACAGTTTGCCGGTACTCATTCATACACGTGGTTCAAGAGATAAACTGTGCAATTTCAGTTCAGTTAGTTAGTTCTCTTCCATGCCAGGAGACACATGTATGTTAAGACTGTTATTCTCGCACTGTAACCAGCCCTGTATTGTGCTGTGCACCTGGCTTTTAGTCCAGTTGGCGAATCCCTCCTGTGTTTTCTCCATGCAAGTTTAATACCTTAATTTATCATCAAGGTCAAAGCACAATGACTCTGGCCAGTATTCAGACTATGGGCAATTCTATTCAAAGCTCAAAGAACTATTCATAGTGCAACATGTCTCCCTTATATGACGTCCTATAGCTCACCTTTACGAGCCTGTATCCTAGAATCCACACGATCAGTCCAAGTACAGACAAGACGAAAACCCCAATTGGGTTGCCATACCTAAACATAAAGGGACGATGTATGATGTTAACTTTTATTAGAAAATAGCCCAAAGAAAGATCGAAGAAAATTTTCTTTGACATGTTATTATTGGGTCATAGAACGCTTGTGAAAGTTTGCGAGAACTTAACAAAGCTGTGGTAATCATTTCTTGTACTAAACTTCCACTCGTGCTTCTGTATCTCAATAAAAACACAGAAAAGGTTTTCTATTTCTTAAATATTAAATATTCACAAGTGTACTTGACAGTGATAAGGCTTTATAAATTATTGTATTACTACACAAATTAATACCTTTAGCTTGTTTCTTCATCCCCATTTATAACATGGAATATTTATGAAATACAACGATGTTTTCAATTGACAACTCAAAATCTAGCAGACAGGCATCAGAGTACATGCATGTACAATACAACATTATACATGCTGTGGTACAGCACTCTGAGGTTTTCTTTCTCTTCTTCTCTGAATCAAATTTTGAGTTGTGAATCTGCAATGACCCAAAGAGTTATCTAGTTTTTTGGACTGCCTTGACGGCATTTTCACCTCAAAGGAAGAAGAACTAAAACCTCTGGGGCCAGGGTAAAGTGGTGTGAATGTAATAACAATTTACCTTATAGTTTTGAGATCGTTTGGCTGCTGAAAACTTGTTTGTCTCATATGTATCTGCGTTCACGAAACTCTCTTCTTGATTAATGTGTTTTTAAAGAGGCGTACACTTATTTCAATTAATCTTCAACAAAGTAATGTGCATGTGTTACACAAGAATATTTTTAAGTGGTGCAAAACCAGATGAACCAAGGACAAACTCAAGTTTTAACACATTTTAGTTGCATGTTTATAAAATGAAAACACAGCGATTATGCTAAAAACGCGATTTAATGGTCAACGACATTCAAGGGATGAGTCACATACGATGAAAAATCATTTTCCAAAGCAATTTATCATCGATTAGGGGATTGAATAAAGTTATTGTCCTGCTGTTAGCAATCAATTCGTCGGCAAACTTCGACAGCAATGATGAAATTCAATAACAAGTAAAGCTTCCTACAAAAGTGAGTGCTATAATTGCTATAGAAGAAAACGAAACATGATAAATTATTCAAAAGAAAATAAGTTAACCAGCTTACCCGATGTACGACTTATTGGTTGAAAACCAGTTAAGTAGTCCATTTTGAGAACCGTTCATTCTTGTTCATTGTTAGTGTTATGGAACGACTTGATTGCGGCCGTATTTGACGCCAGGTTTTAAGATGAATATGCAAAGAAAACTCTACATATAGAAATCGCCACCTAATGTATTCTGGCCTGGGTGCAATCATTATAAAAGGTCGTTTGTCACTTTACGAAATTCTTTCGAAGACCAGAGAGTTTCCTTGGAGCAGAGCAGCCTCGTTTTCATTCACCAGGGAATCATCGTTCCAATTAATACGTCATGTAGGAGACAACGTAATATCTTTAAACAAGAAAACCGCATTCCGCCACTCAAGAAAGCTGTCAGAATCAAAAGCTGTATAAATATAAAACCGTTAGGCAGAGCTTAGAACATGTGCCAAGACTGTGTAAAAGTGCAGTATCCTGAAAGGGTAGGCTATTAAATTCTTACAATAGATTTGCATGCATGAAAATTGTGTTGGGCTCTATGTCAGAAAATCTGTCAGAATATTGTACGCGCCAGTAAGATGAGCCCGCGCTGTATTGCATATTATTTTGTGGATGAATGTAAGAACAAATCGTGGCATGGGTGCAGGTTACATTTGATACCCCTGGGATGTCTGATCCTATAGTGCAAAGTTTTTGTTTCCTTAAATTTCAGTTATTCTAGATAAAGATCTTAAATTATTAAAGGACTTCCGACTTGCAGTTTACAAACTAGTCGTGAAAAGGGTTCGATTCAGTCAAGTTAAATAGTAGACTTGCTTTCCAGCTATACATATATATTTTGGTAGTCCCATTTCCATACTCCTCTCAAGGCAAGGAGCACTAGCTTGCAAAAACAACCAGCTTCAGAAACAGGTGATTGTTTTTTAGGGCACAATCTGTCTGGAGAGTGGTTCATATCTACTTAACTTTGCTTGCTGTACAGTGTGTGGCAAGAAAGAACCACTCAAAATTACAGAGAAGTCCAGTTGGGAGAATAATGATGGAGAGGAACTGGTAACCTATAAACGTAGGTGTTATATTTGAGTCAACACTAAGCACTAGGTTGAGAAAAGGAGGCGCGGTGGCCTCGTGGTTAGTGCGCTTGTCCCCGGATTGAGCGGTCCGGGTTCAAGCCCTGGTGAGGGACATTGTGTTGTGTTCTTGGGCAAGACACTTTACTCTCACAGTGCCTCTCTTCACCCAGGAGTATAAATGGGTGCCAGTGAATTGTTGGGGAACCTAACAAATTGCGGGGTAGTGACCTGCAATGGACTAGCATCCCGTCCAGGGGGAGTAAAAATACTCCTAGCCACTTCATGCTACAGAAACTGGGATAAGTTCCGGCAGCTATGAGCCAGTCTAGCTCAAACACTTCACTTATATTTGAGTTAATGTTAAGCATTAGGTTGAGATATTTGCTGAAATTGTAAGTTTATGGACTGACATGTGGCCAAGGTCACTACCCAGGACCGGGGGGGGGGAATTCCCATATAAGGAATGGGTACTCATTGCACATTTTTAAAAGGACCCCTAAGTGGTACCAAGATCCTGTTTTGTGGGCGTGGCTTGAGACTTGTTTTTTTTACCCCTAAAGGGTACCAACTCTAAAACAATACATTACCTCCTCTCATATTGTTTCGACTCAATACTCCTGCTGTGGACCTTTCAAGGCTAAACCAAAACCGCATTTTTGACCCCTAAAAGGTACAATGAGCACCCCTGTCCTTTTAAAATGGGAAAACCAACCTCCCCCCCCCTCCCTGAGGTCTGCAAAAAAAAGTTAAATTATGATTGAAGCCAAAATCGAGTCACCTTATTAACCATAAACAAACTTGGTCAAATATATAACACCCCATTTTCTTGCCTGATACAGTGGGTAGTCCCAAGTGGGAAGAACAATGCCATCTTGCACTGGAAAAAGCTGGTAAAAAACAATTTTTATGGCCAGAACTTACCACCATGGTAATCATCAATAACAGTATAATTTAATAATAAATGCCAAGGAGTTGATAGCTGTTGACTGCCACTATGGAGCAGTTTATTTTTGAAATTAATATTTTGAAGAGGTAATTATTGAAAAAAAACATAATTTGAATATATTTTAAAAATTACTTGTTTATACAGATGTCTGTCCAAGCTGTGGCCATCTTGTGGCAGAGCATGAATACACTTTCAGGGTTGAAGGCCAGTACCAGGTAATAGGAGCTAATCTTAGTTTCTTAAAAAATTTCTAAGAAAAATACTCAGCTCAATAGCTCAGGGGTTTCATTAACGGGTGGACACCGAGCAGATTTACTGGCTGTGAGAATGATATTGCTTGCCTTGTTTGACCATTTAGCAGAAAGATTTTCTTAGAAAGAAGTTCAGTTCAAATAGTTTTGCCTACCTGTGCAAACCAGTTCCCCAGTCCCGCTGAAAACATTAAGCTGTCAGAGTGGGAATCTCCTCATTTGATAACCAGGTGCCAAATCTAGTGCGTATTACATGACTTCCAAAAATTGAGGTTGAGGAGCTAAGTGCAATACCAAACAGAAGGTACCTGCACACAAGCTAGAGTTAAGGAAACAAAACTATTTTGATTAATGTTTTGAAAGGACAAGAAAATTTGTGGAAAACATATCTAACACCTTATGCTGGAACAGCTGTCATATATTCTCCATAATTCTATTCAACATGCAGAAACTATGAAGAATCTTGTAGATGTTTTAAAATATGTGCAATTTAAGTAGTTTTGCCTCCACTGAGTTACTGAGCAGACTCACAATAATTATTCAGTCTTTCTCTTGCAATTGTGGGTCGGAGTTTGAGAAAATTGTAATCAAAATAGTTGCCACAAACCAGACAAGTCCTTTAAAATTTGACAATAACCAAGAAGACTTATATATGAATGTATATCCCAGAGACACGCAGCTGTCATAATAAAGCTCCCAGAAATGCTGATGCTTTTTTTCTCTTGTTCTTTTGTTACACAGGAATACATGATGACTTGTCTTTTGTGTGGCTCGGCAGCTGACTCTGTTAGTATTCTTCCTGATGACCCTGCTAAAAGCGCAAATATTTTCTGAGTCACTAGGGAACCCTTAATTAAAAGCTTCCCTCATGGTCAGCACTATGAAGCAAATCTCTAGGAGTATCACAGCTGAGCGGTTAGAATCTCATAGCCCTAGCATTTCCCAGCTAGGAGTCATAAAAAATTCTGACATGGTGAAAAGTTGAAAAATATCTCTGTTAAAAGTTGGAAATATCTTTGCAATTTAAAATAACTAAATGCAAATTTTTTTTGTTATTAAAGTAAAGTATAATTTTATCATAATGGAAGATATGATTAGCAGGAAGGTTTTATATTTTGCGTTTGAGTACTAAAAAGAAGATCGTTAGAGTGAACAGGAATTTACTTGAAAAATTTTCATTGCTCATTTCACCATCATTCGCCCAAGTTAGGTTCACACTGAGAAATTGGCACTATTCTAGTATTTGAAAGCTTTGAGAGAAGTTGTAGAGCTTGCTTAAAGTTTATGATCACATACGATTGCCCTGTGTATAACTAAAAATTACAGGATTCCTCCTTTTATGCAAAACAAAATGGAAAATTAATTTATTAATGCGACTGTAACTTACAAAAAATAACAGGTTTTGGATTGACTCTTATTTTGAATATTACTACATGTATATAAATACTCTGACTAACATGTAAGTTATTCAGAGTGCAAGTTTTCCAAGAATAAATCTTATTAAAACTAATTATTGACCAGGAACAGGAAGGCTCTACTGGTTTTGACTGTTCCAGGGCTGTCATTAATCTCTATAAAAGCAAACTGTATAGGAAAAGTAGGTGGCTGTAAATTATTTCAAAATGGGCTCTGCAACAACATGTAGGTGTGCCTTCTGATCATTTTCAAAGTTGGAATTGCCAGTTACTGTTTGCAACAGTTGCCAGTAAAAATTGCTAGCTCCCAAAGGCAGCCCTGTATGTGTGGCTTTTGTTTAGTTAGTTACTTGGTTGCATTACCAACTTTAGTTGCCATGAAAAAAGTGACATCCTTTACATATTAAGAATCTTCAAAGTTCGAAGATTGAGATTACCTGTTAATTACATGTACATGTAAGTTTACGGTTTTAACAGATTTCTAAGCATATCAAGACTGTACATGAAGCTAGTAACACACAAACCGAGGAACTTGTGTCAGTCATTTGTTTTTCTTTTTGTTGTTTATAGTGATCATAAACACCCTAAATACATGGGAAGAGAATTTATCCATGCACATTGCCTCCGTCAGAATTATTTTCTGCCTACAGCCCTGCATATCTTTTTTTTGCTTTTTTTGCAGCCTGACGTGTGATATTCCTGTCAGTCTTATCACTCACAAACACGTAAAATAATGTTAGTAATGTCACATTTCCATTTTCCCTGACGATTTTTCCAAGGCTTATATTACTACAGGGTGTGTTTTTCTATATAGATACTTTAAATTTGTTAAAGTACCACATGAATGCAAACATAAGCCCGGCAGGTTTCTGCTTAGTTTGGTCAAACAAAAACTCTCTACTCTTCTCTAGCGGCAGATAAAACACTTCGATCCTCTCTCCCTCATCAAGGTTTCCACCACCCTTGCTCACACACATCTCATCTGTGACTTTGGCAAAGAAAAAGGTCTGCAGTGCTCCTGTGCTTCCGACCCCTCCACGAAATGACACAATTTCTTGGAGGTTTTCTTCTGGAACATCATAACCACATTCTTCGAGAATTTCTTGTCTCATTAAGCCTGCAAGGCTCATGTTTTTATCAATGATTCCTGCACAGAGTTCATAGGTAACTCCTTCGCTTAAAGGAGCAGTAATAGGGAGTGACGAGTCTTCAGCTGTCATGGAAACAGCACTGCCATCAGTTGGCACTTTCTTGTGGATGTTTCTGTTAATGTGCATGTAAACAGCTGAAATAAAAAAAAAAATAGAACTATTATTTAAACATAAAGGATAATAGCATTTCAGGAGGGGATGCAGCAAAGAAAATACTAAGCACCTTCAAAGTTACTTCACATCTTCATCTCCTTGTGAAGTTTCAGCTGGTTATAAGCTCTCTAGTGCCACAAATCTGTGAAATAAGCTAGTAACCAGCTCTTAGCTACATCCCTGAGACCTTGGAGAGTTGTTCTTAGGCTCGAGATGTTCGCATAGATGACAACTGTGAGCTCATTTTCCCAAACAGTGGCTGCAAATTGAGCCTATTGCCCCAGTAGCAACCTATCCATATAATTATATCTTTAATACTGTGGTTGCAGAATGTTATTACTGAGTTTTATTTTCTGCAATGATTGATGTTGCCATTGTCCATTGCACATTAATTTGTTTTGTTATAATTATGGTCAGCTACTAAATGGGGTCCATGTAAATAAAGTGTTATTGTCATAGCTCTGTGAGTGGTCATGATGAACCAAATCCTACACTGTGATTGGCTACCCTGTAGGGTAACATGACATCACCTTGCCTGCTTGGGATAGCATGCTGTGTCCACCAAGAAAAACTTCTCAAAGATTACTTTTTTGGAGTTCTTTATCCCAAAGAAATCCTTTATTGATCAAGCTTGTTCTGTTAAGATAGCTGGATATTGGCCTTGTTCTCTTTTTCTATGTGTGCTTATTGACCTGGACTCCATCTTGGTCCATCTTACAAATGTCTAAAAAAAATAATTTGGCATAACTGTACATCCAGCCGACTTGACCTCTCTCTTGGTCTATAATGCTTATACATTTATATGGTGTAAGTTTAAATGCAATGAATTTCAAGAAAGTTGTAAGACACTTGTTACATGAAATATTGTGCCATAGGGATGACAAAGGAGCATGAGGCTTCTTTGATAAAAACAGATAATCAGTAAGACATAGTTTACTTAGTAGAATATGTGTAAAGTCCTGATTAGGTACTTCATCAACAATAGTGGTGTAGTATTCACTCAGTGAAATGGTCACTCTCCAGGACAACAAGACCAAGATCAAATAAGGCTGTGTTTCTTTGGGATGATCAAAGCCCAAGATCACTTGGATCATGGCCAGTGTATCAAAGGAAGCGATGAGTCCACTCTGAGCAAGGATTACGGATCAACTGTGTACTAACGGCATCCACAGTTGAGTGTTGATTGACACCCTTGATTGACCTTGCATCAACACACGATCAACATCTCTGTTAACGATCCATTGAGAGTCAACTAATTTTTGCAGACATGTCATTGAGTGTCCATTGATACATATGAGTCAGTCGACAATCTGCCTACTATCTGCCCACTGTTAATAGAGTGTCGATCAAATGTCAATTGAGTGTCGATAGAGATGCGGTTCAAGTCTTAATTTAGTGTCGACTGAATATGTAGGTCGTCCATGAAGTGTCAATTGCAGGTATTGATCAATACTCGACTTCAGATGCCTTAAGTACACATGATCCAGGATTTCTTGATTTCTTTGATGCACCCATGCTCTGAGTAATCTTGGATCATTAATTGTTGTCTGAAACACCACAAAGGATCATCCAAGACTTTGTTAATAATCGATTACCTGGTCTAAACTGTTTCACAAGGATAAAAGCCTTCCTTGTAGTATTGAATAAGAGGGCACAGACACTGAGAAAAAAAACAAAAACATTCAAAATTTAGTATTCAGTTACACACTCAGTAAACTTGCCAATTTTAATATTATGTATTTATATTAAGTCTTGCAATGCTTGCATTTCAAGCCTGATTTGACATGTCTGGACTTCAGTAAATCTGAATTATTTTACAATCAATCTCCATAATATGATAATTAATTTTTCATTGACTTTTTTTAAGTAATGGCTGCTATTTAATTATTAGTGAATTTATGTTCTAGTGAGACTCTGCCCTTGTGGATTGTTTCTGTTGTTTGTATGAAAAGGATACTAAATATTATTACTCACATACCTATCATGAACTTTTAGATAGTCCCATTCTCTTTCCCGACCATTCTATGCATAAAAAGACATCATTGCAAATAATAAATCTAAAGACTACTGTAACTCAACAGTGACCAACATCAGTTGTCTCCTTACGGTATCCATACATCATCACGAGAAAAGGGCATGAGAATTAAAAGGTATTATGTATCACAGACAAAATCTTTTAATTTTTATAACAAATGTTCAAATTTGTAAAGTTTACAGATCATGCCAGTTAAGGAGAATTTGGAAGGAAGTGATTTTTGTAGCTCAGATCTCAGGCATTTCTTGATCTACAGGGGAAGAATTGATCAATTGCACTGAGAGACATCATTTTGTTTAAACTTGTGTCTAGTGTCTGTAATAATACCATGAAACTTATCTGTGCGACCACCTGTTAGCAATGGTCAAGATTTACTTGCCCCAACCTTGCACCCATCCATACACTTTACTCTAATTAAAGCCCCTATCAACAACAGCCAATTAATTTTGTCCAGAGTGGTGGTGATTGAAAGGTTAATCCTCTGCTGCTAGCACAACAGACACCTTACATGTCTTGTTACAAGTGTAATGAAAGATAACCTGCGATAAGGCTAGTTTGTTTGCATGTCTGAATCCTTTTTAGGGAACCGTGTAACCTCTCATAATGAGAAAAGCAAATTGACAAAGAAGAGATGGTAGTCATCCTTGGAAGCCCAGGGGCAGTCAGCAGGGGCAAGGGAAAGTTGATGGGGGAAAACAATCAGCAAAGAAAAAAACACTTTGCAGATTTTTCTGTTGTTTTGACTTTCCCTCACCCCACTGACTGCCCCAGGGTATCCCTGGATAATTAGCCTGATCGCAGGTAGACTAGGTAAAATGAAAGAATGTCAAAGGACATACTCATCGTGTTCCTTAACATAGTCCCATTCTCTGAGCACACCATTCTTTTTTACAAAAACAGAAAGAATTAATCAATGAGAAAAGGATTCGTTTTGGTGAAGTCTTCCTTGCAAAATTGCAGTCGCTATTTTTGTTCTCACGCAAGGAGACACGAGCAAATTATCAAAAAAAAAAAATGGACGTAAGAATAAAAAAGGAAAACAAAAGGAAAGAAATCAAGCTGCTAGAAGGTCAAGACTTACATTTGAAAACCAACTAAGACTTATATTAAAAGCTTTTAATATAAAGACTGACCTGTTTGAAGACAACTCGTGACGGCCGAATGAAGCGAGAGTCCACACAAGGTTCGACACGCATCTCGGAGATCTCAAGTCCCTCCATTTTCCTCACACAACGACGGAATACAAAACTAACGCTAAACTTTGTCACTTGGTTTACACTAATCGACGATAAAAAGAGAAATTTACCCGGTCGAAGAGAGGCAGTTGCCATCAAACAGATCTCAATCTTTCCCAGGATCTTCTCGGTCTTCAAACAAATTGGAGTACTGGAAACGATCATAGCTACAGAGGTCCCTCCCAGTCCCTCCCGACTCGACACCAAACTGTCAGAAGGACAGAAAATGTCAGAAATGATCATCCTGTTTTGATTCTAGGGAAGACCGAATGCAAATGCGACCGTTGAGTCATATAAATATATAACTGCATAACTCTGTTATCTTGGTCCAAGATGATAGTCAGTAGTTTTATGGGATGGTTATCTATAGAATGATAGCATGGTAGCTAAAAACACAGCTTATCTAGAGAACTGGATATCTTTGTAGTATGGCACAGAGAAACAACAATTTTCAACTCATTTGATTTGCACAGTGTTTCAGTTGACTGCCCGCCATTCGATAGTTACTTTTTTTATTTACAATTTTCCTGTTTTATACAGTTCGTCTTCAGAGGTGTATTTAGAGAGAGAAACTAATATGATAGTATTAAATATAACCCCAATTTCAAAACCCAGTCCACTACAAAACAAAGTGTTAATCCCAAAACGCTTGAAGACTGCACACATGTGCAGTCTTAATCTCCTTAATGGAATATAATAAGTCATTCCTAACAGTAAGGTCTATGAAAAAAGGTTTGTCACTGACTATTGATATTTTTCAACAGACGTTTCGTCTAATGCTTAAGCCTTCATCAGTGATATGAAAACGAAATTCGTTGTCATACGCTATTTAAACTAACGTAACGCGAGACTTGCGCGCGTGACCATGTAATTCATGCTCGTGCAATGCCTTTGTAGGCTTCTGGAAACAAAAAGGCTATTGATGGTTAGTTGTGGTTTGTAAGCTACTTTGACCTTTTGTTGTTTCAAAATGCGACCTATTTTCTCGGAAACGCCCTGTACATACACTAAAGTTTTTCTCGGCGGGTTGCCTTTTTCCGCGCCCCAATGAGCGAGACGATTCTGACCGCCACAAATCAGGCATAGTGTACAAAATCATTTGCACTCAGTGTAATTTTGTGTACTATGGCCAAACAGAAAGATCATTAAAGATCCGAATTGCGGAGCACAAAAAGGCAGTGGCAGGTTTTGACCAAAACGCCAAAGTTGCAAGCCATATCCACCATTTCAACCACACCATGAACTTTGAAAACGTCAAGGTCATTGGTTTCGAAGCTAATTACCACGAGCGACTTTTCCTTGAAGCCTGGCACTCTATTTTGGACCCGAACGCTGAGAACGATCATATCGTACTTCTAGAAGCCTACAAAGGCATCGCGCGAGCATGAATTACATGGTCACGCGCGCAAGCTTCGCGTTAAGTTAGTTTAAATAGATATGACAACGAATTTCGTTTTCATATCACTGATGAAGGTTTAAGCATTAGCCGAAACATCTGTTGAAAAATATCAAGAGTCAGTGGCAAACCTTTTTCAATAGACCTTATGACATCTCCTGACTACACTTTTTCCATTTTTAAACACATTCCTAACAGTATTTATTCTTATTTCAAATTTTGACAATTGCAGGAGCCACATTTGAGTTACACTTTGGATTTTCCTGCCACCACGCACTGACTTCAAGAGGCCTTATCTCAGTAGCAGGGGCAATAACAGCTCGTAAAGCTTGTTGGATAGAATTGTAAGTAATTGTTAATGATTGGGAGATGAAAAAGATGTGTGATGTAAAATGCTATGCTTTTGTTTTTTTAATGGCTGAAAAGAAATCAACAGTAGCAAAATCTAGGCGGCAAAGAATTTCAAACGGCTCACTGGTTTTAAAGTGAACTTCATGCAGATGGAATGAAAAGAAAAAAAAATCCAAAACAGTTTATTTCCTATATGATAGACGATGCATGTCAGTCGTTTCGCCTACATTGAAGTCGTTTCGCCTGCACGACCGAAGTCGTTTCGCCTACGCGATATGAGTCGATTTACCTACATTAAAGTCGTTTCGCCTACACTTCGAAAATATTTTGGGAAGATGGATGACACTGTGCGAAAAGCCAAATATTCGGGCCCGAATTCGCTCTAATATGGATCGGCGCACGCCGCGTACACCGCAATGTTCTGACGTATTCGATTTCGGCTGACTCGAAATACACCTGGAATATTCTATTAGTATCCGCCCTGTTTTTCCGTATTCAAATTGAATACTGTCGTGCATGACTCGAAGTGTTCGATATATCATATGGGACACGTTTTGGTAGATTAATGTAGCATTAGATGTTCTTCGAAGATATAGTGATCATTTGTGACTCGAACATTTATTACTTATGACTCGAACATTTTTCATTTTCGAATACTTCCAGTTGTTCGAGAGTTTGCGACTGGAACACGAGATGTAAGACGCCACTTCTGAAGTGAACGTCTTCGAATACTAATGGATACGTCAAGTATGCTCTAATTTTCGAGAATCGCACGCTATGAACACGAACGTTATGCCACAAATGAGTGAGTTTGAGTCGATGAATAAAGCCTTGAAAGCTTCATGGGTGAGAAGATTTAATACAGAAGTGGATGCGCTGTGGAAAACCATCTCCAGTTACATGACTCGACACCTAGGCGGTTTTAAGTTCTTATTATCATGCAGTTATAAAACCAAAGAACTCAATTTAAAGAGCATTCCTTGTTTCTATTCAGAAATTCTAAATTGTTGGGAAATGATAAAAAAAAAAAAAAAAAAAAAAAAAAA